TGGGTCCAAGGACGCTCTACAGCCAAAGATGTAGAGCGGCTGCAAAGGCCGCTGTGGATGTCTGGAATTGTGGTGGGTATGACTATTAAAAACAAAGTCACCAGGTGCCAACCACCAGCATGGAGAGCTGAACCCGAGCACACTTTACTTGTTCAGTGTTCAACACATGAGACTCAGCAGAAAGGAAGCAAAGTCCAACACGGATGGGAAGGACGTCTCTAATTTAAATCAAAAGGTAGTATTCTACAAGGTGTTGTTAGGAAAAACATGCTAGGTTTCCTCACTCAGCAAAGAAGGGGTCATGGCAGAGTGGGTCAGATCAGAGTGGGATCAAATCCCTCAGCTACATTCCTCAGTGGACACAGCCACCCACAAGGAAAGCATTCTTCTGCATTTGGATGCTCCTGCTCCTCACACATGCAATTCTCTGTGTGCAGACTTGTAAGCAGTGGAGAGGAAGGGACAGGGACCCCATGTGTCCTTATGTAAACTGGTCAGTTCATCAGTTTTTGAAATCAGGGTCAGGAATAAGTAGTTCTGACACCTGCTGACCTTGCGGCGCTTCCAAGTTCCCTGTGCTTTCAAGTGTGGACAGCAGAAGTATGGGCCCTTGACAGGTTACCTGGCAGCCTCCCAAGTGAACTGGGCTGAGATGACCTGTCAGTGTGACTGTACAAAGCCACTGTCCGTTATACAGGGTCTACAACCAATACAGTGATGACTCATTGCTATCCTCTAATGTACAGGACAGGCTGGAACCTGGGTGCACAAGACACTTCCAGGTTCAAAAGAAGAAAACACCAGCGAAAGTCACCTCCCAGTATGCACTGCCAGAGACCAGTTCCTGCAGCTGCACGAGGCAGCTTCACCTTTCAGAACCTGCTTTCTCTGTTGCCATATTAAAAGCTTTATTGAGGCTCAGCCTACCATACTCAAATTATTTTTCAGACAACACTTGATTACTTTTCACTTGTCTTAGATATCTCTGGTCTACTGACACACACTTCAAACAAAGCCAAATAATTACAAAACAGTATTGTACCTAACACTGTACTCACCTTAGGACAAGGTGCCTTTGCTTTTTATGTAAGGGGAAATAAAGAGAGGCTGGGTTGGTTTCGCAGCGTGGAAAGCAGACTGCACAGGTGATGCGCAGGTGCACACCAGCACATCCTGACTTTAAATCCTGGAAGCACTGCTGTCCAACTGCAATTCAGAAACTCAATTTCAGAAACAGCCTTCAATCACAGCTCCTTCCTGCCCCTTATCAGCTTATAGTAACACTGCAGAACAGACAGCCACGGAAATGTGCACCCCTGACCACTGAGACTCTGCTCCAAGGGGAAATCTTAGCATGTTCCCGGTTCCTGACACAAAAGTCAAAACCTTGGAGTGTCCATGGAGGTGTGCTATGGCTTCAGAACAGGGCTCGTCCCTAGAAAGATTGAGACCTGGAACTTCAAAACCCAACCCCAACCTCTGACCTCCAGAGAGCCAATCATTAGCTGCAGGGATTAACCTACTATACCCATGTAAAGTATCCTCCACCTCCAGAGGGTGGGTTCACAGAGCTCTGGAGTGGGTGTGCCCCAGCTTCATAGGGACTGAGGTTCCTGTGCCCAGCCTCCACGACCCCAGGAAAGGCCCACATCTTTTCGAATCCTACCTGAGTTCTCCATCTTTCCACCCTTTCCCATACCCATCTGCTTCTCTGGGCTGACCATGGCACATTCCCTCCACAGATATTGTTGGCGGAGAGGCTCTGGAAGGACTCACAACTCCAGAATCCCACCAGGCTCCTCCGGGGCCTCCCCTCCCTCAGCTTTGCTTCTCAAATCCTGGAGGCTGTGGTGGCTTCGACTCCCTATTGTCTCTGTCCCTTCAGCTCAGAAGGGTACAGCTGCTCAGGCCTCACACGACAGCAGCCCAGAGAATAGCACCAGTGTGGATACAGGCCATAGGCCAGCTGGTCACTGGGCTGCTCCCAACACTATGCATCAGTGTTTCGTGTGACAGTGTTATGATTATTTTCAGCAAGAAAGAAATTAGAGTTCCAAATCTTGTCCCCCACTCCACTGCCCTCAGCTACTGCTTTTACTTCTAGAGCACAGCTCCTAAATCAGGACCTGGGTCAAAGGGTACGTACTCAGTAAACATTGCCAGAGCTCAGCCAAGTGCTGAGCCCACTTAAACATCCTCAGCGAAACACAAGCACACTTCACGTTTGAATGAACAGGCAGCACTGGAATAAAGCCTTTGTACTTAGCGACGTGTGGGGGCGAATGTTCATCACACCCCCAATTCCTACAAGCTGAATGCTTAACCTCTCTCTCCCCACTGCCAGAGCCCCCTCTTGAGACCACCTGGGCTCCAGTATCTAGGTCAGCCCGAAGACCACACTTGCCCTGACTTCCAGCTGGGTGCATCTGCGTCCTACATGAAGGATGTGCAGGCCTACAGCCAACAAGTTCCCTGTGGTTTTACTTTTTTGGGCTTGTTTTGTACCCATGTGATTTTATGTTTTCTGTTACAGCACACACTCTGCTCTGTAGCTTTGCTAGAAGGTTCTTTAGAAGCCCCAGCCCACCTTGGCCTCCAGCTTCCGCCCTTCCACACTGCTGGCATGCCTGGTGCCTGTGGTTCTCCTCCACCGTCACATGTGCACGGAAGCAGAAGCCGTGAGATGACAGAACAAGCCGGTGAACAAGGTGTCACTGCTGCCCATCCGAGGGGATAGCACTCTTCTACACGTGGATGTGATGGATAGATGAACATGGTCGTACAAGCAGGTGCACGTGTGCAGGCCAGAGGCCGACACATCATGTGTCTGCTCAACCACCCTCCACTACAAGTCTGAGACAAGGCCTCTAACTGACTCAGACAGGCTGGCTCGTCACTGACCTTCAGGTATCTGCCTGTTTCCACCTGGCCAGCAGTGTGACTGCAGATGCACACCACTGTGCAGCATTTATGTGGGTTCTAGGGGTACAGCATACCCCCACCCCAGCTGTGCACATTCATCCTCTTTATTTTCTAACCAAGACCTCAGAAATGAGGATAGCCTCACCATTTTAAAGACACTTTGGCAAAAGAGTGAACGTTTCACCTTAGGACAGTACAATACATACAGTGCTCTGAACCAAACTCAGACTTCTCACACCGCAACACAAACAGATGACTTAGGATCGTGTGTGACGGCAACCTCACACCTGCTGGGCTCAGCACAGCAGTCAGGCTTGGCTGGGGCTATGGCAGGAGGTGCCGAACTTCTGCCGTCCCTGTGTTCTGGGACCAGGTAACACTCCAGAGCATGGACAATTTGCCAAATGGTATTAATCACAACAGAATCTGAAAGGAGACTCAAACTGAATGTAAAAATTTCAAGAAAAACCATGTACAGCCAATCCACACTGAACTTAATCTCATAGACAGGGAACAAATGTCTGAGTCACAGGTGCCTGCTGTGGAGGAAAACACCTAGTACTCCATACCACTCAAAAACGCGGTCCTGCACAGGGAGGGAAGCTGTGGCAGCATGGTACTAACCATGGCTCTCTCCTGTAAGCACGGAGGGGGCTTCACATGACAAACCTACCCCTTACACCCCTATCCAAAGAAGAACTCAGTAGAAAAAAAAGGATGGAAAGGACATAATAAGGCAGTTTGCTCAAGTGTACTCCGATAGTGAGCCACACCCAGAGAGGCTAGGCCGCCTTCCCAAGCTCTTGCTAGCCATTAGCTTCCCAGGACAGCTGCTGGATATGTCCCCCCCCCCCACCTCCCCAGGGCATACAGGTCTCCTCTCTGGGTGTCAGGGCAAAGGGCAGCGTGCTGTGGCAACATGGCTGCCATGCTGTACTACAGTTAAAAATATCCACAACCTTGACCTCCGCGACCCCACCTTGGTGATGTGATGGTACAGACTAGAAGCAGCAGCAAGTGGACACGCTCCAGCATGTAGTGACTAATTGGAAGAAAACAAGTTTTGTTTTGAATTGCAGAGCAGCAGGTGCAGTCAGTGTGCACCGAGGAAGCAGAAAGCCGCTTCACACCAGTCCTGAATGAGGATCCTGGCTTTTCTGTTTGTGCCAATCCTACTTCCTATTGCCTGTGTGTCATGGAGGCTGGGCCACCCAGGACCAAGTTTTTGCTCAGCCCTAAGACTGCTCTGCTGAAAACATGTAAAGCATTACAATCGGAGCAGAATGAACAGCATTATAGTTCTGGGCTGCTGACCACATAGGGCGAGTACCAGGAATGATCTCATTGCTTCTGCAGAGAGGATCACAGAGGAATGGGCAGGGGACTACATGCCCACTGCAAGCTGAACACTGTATCTACTGCCCCTTATTGACTCCTTATTTAAACAAGCAGGATGTGCTTTGGGTATATAAGGGCAGTCTGAGGGGTTCAGAGGGATGGGGGTGACGAAGGCTGCACAGAGAAAGTAGGGGGTAATAAGGGGCTGTCGCTTGTGGGGCATCACCAACCCAACCAAGAAGTGACTTTTAATCTACTCAGTGCTCTCACATACCCTTCTGACAAAGTGTCTTCTCTCAGTATGTAGAAGAGTCCAGGGGGCCAAGACTGCCTGCCTGTAGGACAGATTGGCCTGAGGACAGATCTGCGAGGGAAGTGAGAGCACCCTCCTCTGCTGGGCACCCCACGATACTCTTGAATACCCTGCCAGCACTGAGCACTCTGTAGAGACACATGACTTGTATAGGATACTGCAGAACTAAAGCAAGATTCCTCTACTTTTGGTTCTGTAACCCAAGACTCGGCAGAATAACCACAAGAGCCCAGCGCAAGCTGGAGGTGCTCTATGCACTGGAAATCACCGCTGTTAGGCAAGCAACCCAACACAAACTCAGGACTGAACAGAGCCTCCAACACCACTTGGGCCAACACAACCATCTTAACAGGTTCAGAAAGCTAAACCTTAACACTTCAGATGCCTATTTTCTCAGCGAAGGAAGCTTCCAAGTGCCACAACGTACCTGAAGGAGGAAGGCTCCCCATGGATAAGTGGGGCACTGGAGGGAGCTGGTGCAGGACCCTGGGTGCCCATCCGGATGAGCTTGCCTGTGTTGGAGTCATAGATCCGAACCTCGGGGCCCGGGTGGGCCTTGGAATGGATGGGTGTTGGGTGGAACAAGGCTGTTGGGGGCACACTCTGTCTGTCTGGAAAGGCTGCAGGACTGTTATCTCTGTGGGAGGAGAGCAAGGGCCATGAACGGTATTATCAATAACACATGGCCCACGGACACAAGAGGAAAGAGATGTACAGCAACGTTAAGGATGTGGATGCAGGAAAGGTGGCAATATGTACCAGGGACAACCACAAACTACTGGCTAGGCTCCAAATGAAAAGCTTCTTCAATTCTTGACTGAATTCAGCTTAAGATGGAAGATTTGCAACTTGGAATTCTAGAACATAACGATGTGTAAAAATAACATGATGGTCAACCACCAGCATCACCAAGTCTGCTGCGCAGCAGGGCCTGCTTGGAGGAAGCCTTTACCTCAGCAGGACAACTTCAGTTCTTTGTACTTCACACTTGGAGAGCTGCTTGAGCTGACAATGCTCAAAGGTACTCTCAACAGAAACTGACTGCCACTTGACCCCAACACCAAAAGTTTCTCATCACAAATACACATAAGATGCGAAGTTCCATTTTCCATATATCTCCCTCTTGGAGTAATTCTGCAGACCTGCTCCATGGCCCTCACCCCACCTCCCATCCTTTGGTTCCTTTCTATAATTTGTATAATATCAACCCTGAAGAAATACATGCAAACTAGGATGTACTCCTGAATCCCACATTGAACTGTACTAAAAGAAAACCCAGAGCTGATGCTTTTCTGGATCTTTATAAGATCACCTGTAGAGGTCACAGCCAGGGTGGACACTCCCTCTAAGGAGCACTGCAGCTTTAGGGCTGGGTGGCATTTGTAACGGTAATAATGACTACCGTGCAGATCTACAGCCATCTAGGAGAAGCCTCTGGCCATGCCTGTGAAGGATTATTCTGATTAAGTTAATTGAGGAGAGAAGACTCACCCTAAAGGTATGTGGGGAACCATCTCTGGATTCTCTGGGCTTGGGTCCTACACTACCCAGAAAGGAGAAAGCTAGCTGAGCACCAACATTTATCATTCTTCCTAAAATGCTGAAACAGCATGACTAGCTGCCTCAAGCTCCTGCGACCAGATCCCTACCATGATAGAAGAGACTCCTTCCCCCTTTAAACTGTTGGTCAGGTACTGTGTCACAGCATCAGGACAAGTAACTAATATGTCATGGATCTTGGATGGACACCCTTGAACAACAAGGCTCTCCTCACTGTATCCAGCCACCTGAAAACACTGCTGGATTGAAGTGTAACTGAGTCCGCAGACACTCCTGACCCAGCTTGGGAAGATCATGCAGGCCACACCTAGACGCCTGCTAGTGTCTGGGTACCTCATGGAAGAAAGGCAGCGTGGAATGACATGGAGGGGAGCGAGCCTACCTGTGTGCCCGGGCATCATCGTCTAGGAGTGGAAAGAGCTGCTCCTCGACTTTGTCCCAGCGCTCCAGGCAGCTCCACAGCCAGTCAGGGCTGACCACGTGTAGGTGCTTACACTCCTGTGCCTGGCGCACCTTCTCTGTGCCTGCAGAGACAACATGTCAGACTGCTTGCCTGGTGGACCCGAGTGGGGGTTATATATTCCTTAGGATGGAGCTGCACGGAGGTTTACAGCCAAGCATCCTCCTCACCACTGGGGGTTAGAACCTCTGCCAACAGGATTTCTGTAGCTAAGCTACTTTCTAATCCTCAAGCTATCCCCATGACAGCCTGAGGCCCTCCAGGATTGTTTATTACCTGAGCTCTGGCACCACCCATGGCAAGAGATCTATCAGGAGGCCCTGTCAATTCTCCCCACACTGAGGCAACCTATCACTGCAACTCCAGGGCTTCCTTAACCAGCCTGGCCCTGTCCTGACCCTGTCCCCTGCCTCGTCTTTTGTCCTTCCTATGTATGGCAAGAGCTCCCTGGAGGGCTCCTGGTCCCCCACCGAGTGACTCCCATCCTGATGTGTTACAGCTGGTCTGTACACGGCTCAGGGACCCTGTGCTGTAGGATGGCCAACTGAGCCCCTGGCTGTGGCTTCAAGAAGTCCTCCTCTTCAAAGGAAACGGTGGGATGACAACATGACGGTCACACCTTACATCGTCCCAACGGCTCAAGTGTCCACGGAAAAAGAGCTTCAGAACCAGGCAAAATAGAGATATGGACCAAGTCCTGGGCGGTCCCTACATAAGCAGGTGCACACCCAGACACAACCCAAGGGGGGACCTGACTTGTACTCCCAGTGCTTTGGAAGGACAACCCCCTTTGTTCCTGAGGAAGATTGCTGCTACATTCCCTCCTCAGACACAAGATGCTGCTGGGGCCAGAGAGCCTGCCAGCTTCCCTCTAGTCTGTGCTAACTCTTCTACCGAGCCGATGACATCATGGTCAGAAGCCAGAGTCCCACAAGCTGAAACCTGCAGGGAGACGATGGGAATGAGCCATCGACAGGCGTGCAGAGCCTGGAGGTGAAGCATGAGGAACTCCAGCCCAGGGACTGTTGCTGAGAAACAGCAAGGGAACCAGCAGTGCCCAGACAGTGTGCGTGAGCTCTATGAGGGAAGCCAAACTGCTACTGGCTTTCTATGACCATGTCACACAAAACAGGAAGGCGACTGCTTAGGGACCCAAGACAGGTGAAGTGTGTACAGGAAAAACCTTTACCCAAAGTCAATTATCACCCCTGAGTGTGTGTGTCTGCGTGTGTGTGCAGGTGCCACACACAATGTGGAGGTCAGAAGACAACCTTAGATGGTATTTTTTCTTCCACCTCGAGACAGGGTCTTTGGTGTCTGCTTACACCAGCTATCCTGCTCACGAGCTTCTGGGATTCTCTGTCTCTGTCACTGTATCATACTATAGGGGCACAGACATTCCAGACATAAGCCACTGAGCCTGGCTTACATGGGTTCTGGAGATCCCAAGTCAGGTCCTTACACCTGTGTGACAAACACCTGATCAACTCATTTCTCTCCCTAGCCAGTCACCCTGTTTTTAAAGCGTCATGATTATAAAGAGTGTTCCATTATGATCTAGCCTCAGAAAGAGACCAAGTCGAAGCACAAAAGGTACATGCATGCCCGGGAGCAGGCTGGTTGTATGTCCCTACCCCAGGGGTCAGAGACGGTGGCACATACCAGCTCGAGCTGCAATGAGGTGAGTGGCCCTGTCTGGGGCGTCAGGGCTCAGCACCAGCTGAGTGAGGACCTTGGCTCCCAGGGCCGTAGCATGATAGTGCTCCCGAGTCTTCTCCACGGGGAAGTTTGTTGGGTGCAGCCCACTGAAGATCACAGCAACATCTGCCAGCACCTTGCTCTTGAGCTCTGGCACAATTTTCCGTATATCTGGAGCTTCCTCAAGCTCCTTCTTGAGGTATCTGTCATATTTTGTGTAATAGTCGGTGTGGACTCGGACTAGGATCTCCTCGAGGTGTATCAAATGGTCATCATCATCTGTGTCCTCTTCCTCCTCCTCCCCCACACTCTGGTCCAGGGACTCGCCCGCAGTGACACCTGACTGCTCACTGTTCTGTGACTCTGTTTCAGCCTCCTTCCGGTCCACACAGCCATTGCCCAGGCCACAGAGACTGTCCCGTTCACTCTCCTCCTGTGTATCCAGGTCTGATCCTTTGTCATGCAGGTGGGTGCTGGAGCCAGACTCTCCCAAGGGGCTTGCTGTAGGTCTCCCTGCACTTGGGTCAGGGGGTGCCCCCTGCTGTGGAACTTGGGTTCTGTCCTGGGTGGCTGGAGACTTGTGGCCTCTCTTCTCCTCGCTCTCCCCATCGGAGGAAGCAGAGGACGACTTCCGCCCTTCGGACCTGCTGCCCTCACTGCTCTCACTGTCGCTGGACAAGTCAAAATCCAAATCCTGCCTGGAGTCGCCCCGAGGGGGCTGCCTCCCTGCTGTGGTCCGACTGTCCCACTCACAAGACACTGGGAGCTCGGAAGGTTCCGTCAGCTCGTGGCCGCGGGGGCTGCTGCTAGGAGAGGCCCGGGGAAGGGACCAGGTATCCTTCTCGTCTGTTTTACTGGGGAGAGCTCCTGGTACAGCCTCGCCACCATTGAGTTCCCGGGAGGTCTTCCCAAGGCCATTGCTCTGCTCCACCCCAGATGCAGGCTTGCCTTCCTCAGGATCCTTCACTGACAGAGCTTGTTCCAAGATGTCAGCTCCTTTAGAGTGATTTACTAAAAAAAAGTTACTGTTACTTAATGGTAGTAAATACTTTCAAACCTAAACCGCACCCATCTCCAGGACAGTCTGAACTGTCTGCCCTCTAGCTCAGGCCTGTGGCCAAGCACAGACCTTTACAGCCCATGCAGGCATGGCTTTCCCGGTCAACGGCCTCATCTACAAGGCCCCAAAACGTTCTACCTTCTTTTTCTACTTCAATGACTACAGGAGCAATAGCATGCCTCTAAACATTTCCCCCAAAACTAAAATCCACCACAAACTCTTAAAACCAAAACTTTAAATTGAGTTTGGTGATGCACATCTGTAATCCCTGTATTCGGGCTGAGGTAGAGGGTCTGGGCTACATAAAAAGACTGTCTCAAAAAACAAGAGGGAGGAAAAAGAAATATAAACTTCCTTCAGACACTCTGGCTCACATGTGCCCAGCAGACACAGTTCCCTGCAGTCTCCATGCAGGCAATAGATGGAGTCCCTGCTTGGGGTTGGTTCTGACAAAGGGAACAGCTGTATCCTGCACCTCACTTCCTCTATAGGATACAGAATCCACTGGTCCTATTGCTTAAGAAAACCTGGGATGAAAGTAGCATCATCATAGTTAGATACTCAGCCAGCATCTTTAATCTTACAGCCAGCAAAACTTTAGAGCAGTATGTTATCTGCTGCTGCCCCCGCCCTTCCAGTACTAAGGACTGAATCCAGGGACTTGTGAAAGGTAGGTAAGCAGTATACCATGAAACTATATCATCAGCCCTAATATGACTTTTAAATATCCTATTTTTCATTACATAAACCCAACTGCCTCGGGAAAATTAAAGTACAAATAGAAAGCAAACAAGAATCAAGTGAATATTGAATTTACAAGTCATTATAGAGATAAAAAAAGATAAAAATTTATCAAAATGCTAATTTCACATTGGGAAGGGGATCACCCACCTTTTTTTCTTGTCTGAGATTCCCGGGCCCCAGGAGGTGCATTCACATCACCTGTGCCTGGAAAGTAGACATACTTCTTCACAGTTATAAGGTTAGGGGCAAACTTCCAGACATCTTCCCGGTCATCAATAATGCAAACCATTGAGTCTCCACAGGGAAAGAGATTTCTACAAGCAAAAACATGCAGTTTACACAAACATTGATTTGCCACTTGCAATAATCTTTTATTCTGCTAAAAATAAAAGTTTAGGACATTCGACTACATATAAAGAGCAAACAGCAGACTCCTTAAAAAGAAGCAAGCTATAACAGGGAACTTTCACTTAATTCACAATTTATACTTTTTTTGTCCAGAGAAAGTAACATTAAAATATTTTTCTCCACTGTTGGCTCTCCTTAAGAAAACTTTTAAAGATGATAATAGTTCAGTCACAGGTCAGAACGCAACTCTGAAAATTCAGTTCTTGTAAACAAATGGGTCAGACCACATTCACAAACACAGCCAGGGTAAAAGAGCCAACTGCTCCCCTGGTACCCTAGAGTGGATGGCCAGCTGTCCACACCACAGGTGGCAGCATACGCCTATTTGGGGTGATTCCACTGGAGTCTAGCACCCTCCCTGCAGCCAGCTTTGTGTGCTGATGAATCACAAACCCATGCTTTCAGTCTGCCCCCTCTACATCAGCTAGTCAAAGTGAGGTCTTGTTTCAACTAAACACTTCACATTCTTCTTTTCTAGTTAATAACAGCACACAGCTTTCAAGTCTCTGTGGATCCCTTGATCTAAAAATGAAACCAGAAGAGGATGCCTGCACAAGCCCCACCCCCTTCAGCTGGCATACAAAACCGCTATGGTCCACGTCTTGACAGAAACACTATAGAAACAAATGCCACTTGATGCATAAGAATGGTAGACATGGCCCTTTCTTGGTAGAGCCCTTTCTTGGTAGAAATGGGGAATATCTTGTACAAAGTGAAAAATTTCAGATACAACAATGCTTTCCAAGTAGGACTGAGTAGAAGCTTAGAAATGACAAGAAACAAGCAAAAAGATAGCAAGACAGAAGAAGGGGAAACTTTGGCTATGTGACTTGGGTTTTATATGTATTAGTGGAATGGATCCCAGGAAATTCCTATTGAATTATAACTCTGAGATGGTGGCACTGGTCTGCTCATCCTTCACCTCAGAGGGCCATGTGAAGTTCTGGCAGCTGCTGGGGTCACACTGCTGCTCCTGTGAGCCCTTCACCTCCTCTAGGCTCCTCTGCCTTATGAGCCCCAACCCTACACCTCTGAAGTCACTGCTTCCTGTCTCTGCAATAGTGAGTTCTAGCCAGGCCTCTAAATAGGCCTGAAATTCAAGGCCTATTCTCCCAGGTCAGCTGGTGAAGGCAGACATGGAAGCAGATGGGTGAGCGATGAAGAGCAAGCCAACATGCATCCCATGCAGGGAAAGATGACCACCACCCCAGGTGGTGAAGACAGAAATGAAGAACCACCTCAGGGTAGTTGTATAACTGTATGGTCCAGAGGAGGGAACAGGACTGGAGGCTGCAGAAAGGAGTGGGGTCCCCTTAGGGCCTGTGGTGGATGGAGGAGAAGACCCCATAGGCTCATATATCTGAATGTTTAGATCCTAGCTGGTGAACTGTTTGGGGAGGTATGACCTTGTTGTAGGAGGTTATGTCACTGGGGGTGGCTTGGGAGGTTTCAAAAACCCAGACCAGGCCCAGATGTGAGCTCTCAGCCAGTACCCCAATGCCAGGCCTGCTGTCCTGCACCCCACAATGATGACCATGTACCGACCCTCTGAAACTGATTCTCAAAATTTGATCTCTTTCTTTTTTTCCCCCAAGACAGAGTTTCTCTGTATAGGCCAGGCTGTATTCCAACTTGCTCTGTAGCCCAGGCTGGCCTCAACTCAGAGATCCACCTGCCTCAGCCTCCTGAGTGCTGGGATTAAAGGCGTGTGCCACCACTGTCTGGCTCAAAATTCAAATTTTAAAGAGGAAACTGAATAGTAAGCTGTTTCCAAGGTAATTCAGCCAAGTACATACCTAAGGTTTCCTGTCTTAGAATATGGGTCAATACATTCATCTCGAGACAATATTCGATGAGAAAAAAGCTTCTTCTCAGGGTCCAGAAAGCCTGTAAGAGGACAAAGGGCAAAGTTGACACTGTGCACACAGCACTCCACTGTGACCGGTATAGCTGAGACCTGCTCATTTGAGTCTGATCTTCTCTTATACGCGCCAGAATTTCTAAAACAAAGCCACACTTGCTGTCTGTCTACAGTAACTTTAACTAGAAGCAATCTGTAATATGCAACTGTCCTGCACAAAGCACAGGAGGAGGAAGAGGAGGAGCATGGTCCCAGTATTCCCTCCTTTAAGGACACTGCCCTAGTGACCTCGCTCAGCCAACTTCCTAAGGCCCAACCACCTCCCACTGGTGTCCAGTCACCTTGACGTGCACTGTGCTAAGTGTGCTGCACGTAGAATATGCCACAGGAATATCTGCCATTGGATTCACACCCTGTCCACAGCTGTCCTCGGGCTCTGGCGTGCAGTGTTCCTGGGAGAATTTCACACTTAGGTTCTTACAGATACTGTCTCCAGTTTTACTGGATATTGCTGTCCGAGTCTGTCCTACATGCTTCAGAAGAACTAGATGCTGGAAGTCTCTGCTAAAGCCACAAGTGCTTGCCTAGCACAGAAGACTCAGAGCAGCAGGATTTGCTTTTGGCAGCCCCACAAAGCCAGGGTTGTTAGCTGGCTGCTACGGTGTGGCACCGTCAACGGTGGGCACAGTCAGTACGCTCTCCTGCTGCTGGTCTGAAAGCAGCCTGGCATTCATTCATTCATTCTTATCTTCATCACTGGGGCCTTACTGACACGGACCTGATGCAGTATCACATGGGCTGAGTGTCAAAAGGACTAATGAGGAGGTGACCCAGATGAAACCCAGGATGTGGTTTTGCTTAAGCAAATGTCCTCTTGCTCAGTACTGGCACGGTCCTTAAGTCTCCTTCATTCTGGTCCTTGCTGGGTCTACATGGTCAGATCAATAAAACAGTATCTACAAGGAAGAGTGACTCTAGGCCAGTGGTTCTCAACCTTCCTAATGCTGTGGCCTTTTAATACAGTCCCTTAGGTTGTGGTGACCCCCAACTATGAATTAGTTTCATGGCTACTTCATAACTGTAATTTTGCTCCTGCTATGAACAGTAATGAAAGTATCTGATATCCAGGATATCTAATATGTGACTCCTGTGAAAAGGTCCTTCCACCCCCGAAGGGGTTTCGAGCTCCAGGAGAACTGCTGCTCTAAGATTTGTCCAGCAACTGTCCTAAGTAACTAGGATAAGAGCTAAAAGACCCCAAATACATATTGTCATCGCTACTAGATGGACAGGAGGCATGGGTGCTGACGTGCTCACCCACAGGAGCCAATCCAAAGCAGAGAAGTTCGTTCATGTTGGATGCTCAGTGGACGTTTTTCTTATGAAGAAAGATTGAAATGATTGCAATTGTTCAAAAAGAAATGGTTCCTATGCAGTTATGTGACACAGGTTTACTAACAACCACGATGATGTAAGACTCTTATTCAAGAAGAACATGGCATGAATGTGTATGTACACTTAAGACAAACTACGTAAAACACACACACACACCCCAAGCAAGAGAAGAGGGAATGCATGTGGACATGATGATAGTGATGAACAGTTCAAATTTTTAACTTTTCTGACATCTTTAACTTAAAAATTAAAAGTCGAAAAAAAAAAATTAAAAGTCTGAAAATGCACTGGGATGTTTTCTTCATTAAACTCTGCTGATGTCTGCCCAAGTCACCTGCCTAAAGCTTGCACCATTATTGCTATTAGCCCATGAGTCACTAATTACCACCTAGAGAGGAGGGTTTCAATGGGAAAGCCACAAGCTTGGGTGTGGATCTACTTTTATATAGGGATGCCTTAGCTGTTGGGGCTGCCACAGCCAACTACTGCAGACTGGGTAATTGACAGCCAACAGCGATCTACACATCAGAGTTTTAGTGGCTGTAAACCCAAGATCAAGGCATCAGCAGCTCCAGTCCAGGGGCAGGTGGTAGGCGTTCTGGTGTGGTACCACCTCACTATGCCTTCGAAGCGTGGAAATGACAAGCTAATGTCCTGGGGTCACTTCCATAACCTCCCAAGGCCACCTCTTAATAATCACCTTGCTGATTAAAGGTTGGACTATGCAGTCTGAGCACAGGGTTCTTCTTTGTTGGTCTGAGATGGCTTACCTTCCTCTTACACAATTACACAAATCTTCAAATCCTATGTCTCAGGTACACAGGAATCACACCCTCAAAACACTGAATCAAAGACAATATGGCAAACACAGTATCAGTGTAGACCCACAGATTACTAAGTACACATTCTGGTGGGAGCTGTTGACAGTGGGGAGGCAGGATGTGTTAAGGGTAGGGGGTGTGTAGTGGGGGCAGAGTCTGTGGAGGGAGAATGTATATGGGAAATCTCTGTAATTCTGTTGTGAATCTAAAGTTGACCTAAAAGACAAAGTCTATTTAAAAACACAGGCTACAAAGAAACTAAAGACTAAAAGGAGAGTCTAAACTACCAACTCCATCAATAAAGACAGAGATCAATCTGTATCTTTGATGTGTGTGTGTGTGTGTGTGTGTGTTTTTTGTGTGCGTGCACGCGCGCACTTACCCATGCATGCATGTGTGAAGGCCAGAGGTCAACACTGGGCTTCTTCCTCTATCGCTTTTTTGCTTTGTTTTGTTGTTTTCTGCTGTTTTGAAACAGGGAATCTGATCTTACTGGTTCAGAAACTGGCTGTCCATTCTGATTTGTAGTGGGGGCTGGGGTCTGCACGCAGGTCCTCACACTTGCACAAAAAGAGCTGTACCTATTGAACCATCTCCTGAGCCCCAGGACTTTGGATTTTAAAGTGCTCCCTTGAACAAGTTCTGCAACTGCTACTCAGGTGCCACGAGCCTGCTGGAATGAAATGTGTCCTGCCTCATCACTTAGGCGGTGACTGTGATGTACAGTGAGTGGTTCAGTGGTAACTTCCTGTCTGGCTCTAGCCAGAACTCATTCCCCAGACAGTGCTGCCACCTGGTGGCCACTGCACACTAAGAGCACATGGAAGTGACTGCCAGCAGTTCATGTCCAACCAAGACAAGCAAAGGTCACTCAGTCCTCAAGTAACTCATGATGGCCAATACAGCATTTGGCACACACTTGGACAACAGAGCTCCAAAGCCATCTTCAGTCAGCTACCTTTGAAAACACACGCACGTAAGTTTTCTCTTTCCATTCACCTATGGTCCCAGTCAACTTTCCCACTGCAACTGCCAGTCTCAACCTGAGTTTCTGTACCATTCCTTGCTTTGAAGACAGACCCTGGAAACAGGAAAGACCTCACACTGTGCCTGACTGACCTGCAATCGTGTGGGCGTACAGACGGCTGCCAAAAGTGAAAACATGCAACTCATACAGCTTGGCGATCTTCTCCAAAAAGTCCCGGCAGTGGGGCCGCAGGCGGGTGTGCAGCATCGGCTCCCCCCGGCCCAGCTGGAAGTGAAAGATGCCCTGTAAAGAAGAGGCAAGAATGAGAAGAGGATGCAGGGAGAACTGCCCAGGCAGCATCTGAGCTGTGGGCCCTGCAAGGGTCTGCAGACACCCAGGTTAAATGAAGAACTGCACAGGGCACATGAGAGCCACATACTGCCTGAGTGAGGCATGGGAAGGTCCATGATGATGGATGCCACTAACTATCATGGCTACGCCAACCAGCCACTGTAATGACAGGCTGCAATAACTACCTCTCATAATTATAAATGTCCATGACACTACTTACTATAAACTACCTGGTACCTATAACCACCTGTAACTATTTAGGATCAACCACCATGATAACTACCTGTGATAATCACAACCAGGATAGCCTGATATTAGTAGAAGGCTGGTCCTGCCTAAATCTTCCTATAGTGTTCTCAACCTTCCTAATGTGGTGACCCTTTAATATTAACAGCTCCTCATGTTGTGGTGACCCCCAACCATAAAAGTATTTTGTTGCTTCTTCATGACTGCAATTTTGCTCCTGTTATGAATCATAATGTAAATGTTGTTTTCTGATGGTCTCAGGTGACCCCTATGAAAGGGGTTGTGAAACACTGCCCTACACAGAGGTACACACACTGTAGTTCTCCAGATCCCTTACAATTGAGAACTGGTTCAAGCTATCTTACTGAACTAATTCAAAATGTGCAACTCCAAAGGCACAATAAAAGGAAACCACAGCAACCCACACTGAGATGCACAGGAGCAAAGGCCTCCATCTACATGCCATCTACGTTCCAAAACGCTCACTACCCCGACAGGCGGTGTGACTGAAACGATACACTATTCAGTAAGAACTTCTATCACACCAAATACTGCATACAGGACAGTGCATATTGTCCTGTAACACGCCATGGTACACAGAGATAACTAATGTAAGTCTAAGTGTAAGCTGTGCTGTGGAGGCAGAACTCTAGTCACATTAGGCTAATCTTCACAAAACTCTACCTACACTCTTGTCATTACATTATTTTCACTGGTCACTATTCATCTCACCATTATATCCACAGCAGTTCATTCAAGCAAAGGAATTTAGCTCTCTGGTGACCCATAGCCTAGGCTGTGATTAGCTTCTAGCGCCGTCTCATCCCTAGACCTGGAGGAACAGCAGGACACACACAAAGCTGTAATGTACCCAAAATCTAAAGTAACAGTCTATGTGTCACTTCCCAACAGCTCATATGTTAAAACCCGACAAACTGACACTAGCCAGGCCTTCCTTGTTAATAGTATGCATGACTACAGGCTTTAGGTCATCTTTCTCTACTAGGCACTAAAAGCTTTTCACTCCTGAACCTCAACTTGCCAGCAAGTGGCTGATTTCCCATTCAAGCTTAACCTGAATGTGATTCCACACCTGGCCACTTCCTATGTCACCTTGGAGAATTCAACTCCCTCATGGTGACTCCTAGGTTCTCTTAAACACAGACCTAGATAGCCTCTTGTTCTAGACATCCAGAAATGAGGAACTCCACATAAGACCTCTTCCCAAGACCATACCCTCAACAGCATTCCTTGTGTCCCCACTCACTGTCTTTACAGGTCTCTGAACTCTGTTGACCCCAGCAAGTGTGAACCTCACCCAAAAGCTCGATGCTAACAGTAAGCGGCCACTTTCAGTGCTGCCTGGACCAGCCCAGACACAGATATGCGATGGGCCTGCTTCCCACATCTCTCTAGGTGATCACAGGAACTCACTCACACACGATAATGCACTTTGAAATAGAACCATAGGGTCTAAGACTGCTGTGACAGCTACCACGGGAAAGCTGGTGTCACTCACTTTGTTGGACATCTGGGGACAGTGCTGCTCAGTTGTATGAATCAGGGTCTGGTCCAAATCAACCATGAGGACCAGTTTTCTGTTTCGATGTAGTCGTTGCTGATCTTCCCTTCCTAGTTTTTCAGCTTGCTAAAGTCAAAAAGGAAAAGAGAAAAATGGCAAAGTATGTGTATACTTTATAAATACTAATAAAATCCAATTTTATTAATATAAAGCACACAGACAGGTCCCTAGCCATCCACCACTACTGCTTCCATGTTGGCAGCCCATCACAGCATTTCTAGGAAAGTCTGGCTCAAGGGGAACTCAACACCCCTGCTGCAGTGTTGGCAGTACCAAGAAGATGACCAACACATAAAACTAAGAGCTGTGGGGCTTCCAAGTATCTGTGTAGACACATTGTTAATGAATGAGAAAAGAAAAAAGGCAGCTTCCAAGTCTTAGAAAGCAGTATTCCAGATAAGGGTTGCCTATAAAATGATGTCTACCAGGACATGCTCCAGAGCTCCCCTAAAGAACCCAGTGGCTGCTACTCTTCTTACCTCAGAGCTCACCATCAACTCCGGCACACTGTGGACCATGGAAACAGTTGCTGTAGAAAGTGGGACCTGCTGCTTTCCATTCTGATTCTGCAACCTGTGAATGTGGAAAGAGCCCCTGGTTAACTGTGTGGAAGGCACATCTAACTGTGAGTGACGTGCCTTCGCAGGTGGTCACCAACACTTCTATCCTAGCACACTTGTGTGCAGACAGCAAAGTGAATGCTGCCTTCTTTAAAAACAGGAAGAACACGAGAAACTGAGCTCCAGGTCACACCTGCAGTCAGATATGCCAGCCACATGCTCAGTGCAAGAGTCAACTCTCCTTGTAAATCGACGGCAGTCACATGGAAACAAAAATAGTGACGGCCACCCCCACCTACACTGCTGAATGAACAGAGCTCAGAGACCACTTGGCATCAGTGGTCAGCTACACCCTGAGTGTGTGTGTGTGTGTGTGTGTGTGTGTGTGTGTGTGTGTGTGTGTGGAGAGGGAGGGGGTGCTCTAGACGTAGAAGATGATTTGCAGTCCCAACTGTGAGGAAAGCATATGCCTTCCAGAAATACTGGAGAAGGGTACCCTGCATAATCTAGGTGTCAGGCAGTGAAGGCTGAAAACAAAAAGGATTCTTTCCTTGGGAAACTGGCCAACTCTGAGCAGAAGCAGCGGGACCCTGTATGGTGCCTTACACCTTCTGTCTCCCCAGGGTCCCCACCTGAGAGCTAAAACTCTTGAGCCTCACTCCCCATGTGTACTCACTGGGTCAGGTCCTGGCCACACTCGGCACACAGGCCCTTCATGACGACAGGATGGCTGCATCCTTCCAGTCTCACCAGAAGTGCTCTGCAGAAACAGAAGCAAACGGTAACAATGTATCACATGGTGGGAGAAAGGGCGTCTGAAGGGGAACAGGTCTTCGGGCTGCCTCCATCTGACTCAGATTACTCTAGCCAGGACAACCATCCACTGCCTAAGAAAGAAAGAGCTGCAGAGAGAGGTCTAGTCAGAAGAGGAGACGACATACAGATGGTCTCAATAACTATGTGCACACGATCTTCTCATGTTTCTAACAAGGAATGCATCAAAATCACGCTTTACCTACATTATTGTAAGCACATGTTGGTATAATTCAAAAATAAATTTCTGTTCCTTCCCACAGATGACTCCCAGACTAGACCAGTTCATATTCATCTGACATTTTTCTGAAAGAATTACTATAATATCCCTAGTTGGTTGTTTATTTCCTTTTAGAACAATATTTGACCATGTAGCCCATGCTGACCTTGAACATCCTCTTGCCTCAGCTTCCCAAGTACTGGGCTATGCCACCATGCCCACTTTCTATTTTAAATAAACAGAAATTATTTTTCTTATTAGGTCCACACACACTACTGCCTCAGAGAGGGATTACTATAGACAAATCTCCAGACTGTAAAAGCAGAGGCTACAACTCTGATAGATAACCCAGCAGAGAGAGATTCACACTTCTCTAATATGGTTCAGTCGGGTGCTTGTCAGGCCCATGCTTGTTGCTGGGACCTTTCCAATTATTTCCTAGTGGCATGAAATTAAAGTCTCCAGAAGCAGGGTCACCTTCCAGAAACCAGAACTGGCCCTACCTACCCTGCTCTACACTCAAGGGCACTCTGCTTCTTGGTCTATTCTGTCCCCAGCAGAAGCTCTCAGGGCCCAACCTATCTATTGTACTGTAAGTGAGAGCACTTGGCCCTCCCAGGGACCTGGCCAGGGAAGCCTATCCACTGCTCCCCTCACAGCACTCTGAAAGAGATGAAGGAAAGCAGGACAAAGGTTAGACCAAGTCTTGGCCATGTAGGAACAACAAAAGGACTTCCCTGGTACTTCACAGGAGGTAGAAGGCCAAGACCCAAGACACGCAGCTCCAGATCAACCTCACTGGACAAGGTCTCCGCATGCATCCTGACTTTCCTTGTGCATGAGGTTTGGAAGAGGGACTGACTTGAGGGGCACATGCCCAAGGGTCTACACCACAGTCCCGTGGATACAGGAGAGCCTTTTCCCCTGGTGCTGTGGGATACCATAGGTAAGAAAAAGCAAAACAAAGGACCTTTGGTATAAGGCTCATATCTTATACCAAACCTGACTTAAAACAAATTACAACTAAACACAAGGCCCAGTGTCAGGTGCAGGATCTGAGTTTTTGGTCAGTGAGGCCCCAGAAGTTAACCACAGTCCTAACAAAGAGCTACTATCTAGCATGAAGAATCCTCACAACTCAACAGTAAAACTGAATGGGGAACTTGATTATTGTAGCTCTAAAGTAAGTCTCCAAATCAGTAAGTAAAACTCTATTTTTCTCAACTGTATTCTTTCTCCAAGCAGTTAAGGTTCCCTGTATTTCCGTACAAACATCAGGACCAGTTCAGCCTTTTCTGTAAGCACAGCTGCTAAACTCTGCTCGGGTAACAAGTCAGCATCTTCCCCATGGCCACAGGGGCTGCACAAGGAAGCATGTGACGTGGAACCCCCTCCCCACCCACCAGCAGTAGATCACAAGTCCTACCTTACTAGTATTAATTCAGGCACAGGGAAGTCTCTTGAGCCCTTAAGTACCCCTGTCCACCCACCCATGTGGAGTCAGCCTGGTTCTCTAGCTCCTGTGCCTGTCTGGAAACTATATGGTATTCTACATGGCAACACTGAGCCACCATCAAGGACAGGGGTCAAGTTAAAAAGGAAGTCTGCTGTGAAGACAGAGCTGGTAACAAAGCCAACTACCTTGGTGGGTGACCTGTCCAGTTTGGTCTTCCCTGGAGCATGGGCATCAAAGCCATGGGTAAAAATTCCTCTGGGAAAAGGCTAGCTTCATAAACAGAAGAAACACGGCCATAATCTAAGCAGTGGGTTACACAACCTTGCTCTCAGAGACTTGACGAGAAGGGAAGCTCACAGCCCAGTTCCCATGAGTTAAATCAAGACAGTAAGCACTGGAAGGAAGAATCCCACCAACACAGAGGGTGGATTCTCATGCAAGCGGAAGAGTGCTGCTGTGGACCCTTGGTAACGAGGAGAGGGGCAGGGAAAAACAAAAGCATGCACAGGAAGGCCGTGAAGAAGAGTGGGGGCCCAGGAGGAGCAGCTCAGTCGGACCCTGTACTTCAGGCACTAGGAAACTGACGGCCTCACTGGATGAGAAAATCAGGTAGTATTTTGTACTGGACTCAAAAGGCTTTGCCCATCTTATCCTGTACGGCAGTTTTTGCCCCGGGACCCACGACCATGTTTATAGACACTCTGGATATTACACATGTCACTGCTCAATTATTTCACAGGGCACAGAGTAACTGTCTCAGAATGTCTCCAGGATCAGATTGGAAAGCACAGACATGAGACCAACGGCACACCAGAGTATATACTGTCTATGCTCATCCAGTTTACTGGTGCTCTCAGTGTCCTAGAGACATCACCCCTAATGAATCACTGCCAGCCAACATGCTAATCCACCTGGAGAGCTAATATGTGCGACAGCTTGCATCACCAAAACAACCTGGGACCATGCATAGGTTTCATCTATCTTTGCATCTCTTATAACATGCCTGGATTTCAAAAATCTCAGTGGGCAGGGGATATAGCTCATTGGTACAGCACCTGGCTGGCATACACACTAACCTGCATTTGATCTCCAAATTTGTAAAACAAACAACAAAACAAAAATCAAACCAAACCTAAAACAAAAAATCAAACCAAACCTACAACCCCATCTGTTAAGTTTTGACCTGTGACCTTCCTTCTACCTATAATGGTTAAGAATACACAAATTGCATTCATTGAAAACATTAAAATGTTACTAAATTCAAATTTGATCTCTCCAACTCCAAGTGACTCTAAGAATTCCTGTTCTTCGCAAATGGTGTCTTGAGGGTGTACCACAAAGCCAGACTTTCCTGATGCCTGTCACTTAGGCAGTAAGTGCTTCACTCCTTCCAAACTCATGTGGCTGACAGGGCTTGCCCGCACCTCAGGAAGAAGTAAAATAACACAAGGTACAGAACACAAGTGTATGACCCAGCAAAGTGACCCACTAAATTTAAAGTCCATGCAATGCACCTTTGGAAGCTGCCATATGGTAAAAGAATGCTGAAGCCAAAGCCACAGTGTAAGGAGGGGAAGTGAACACCTTATCAGCGGAGCATCTTTGGAAGATGCCACAGCCACAGTGTAAGGAGGGGAAGTGAACAACTTATCAACAGAGCATCTTTGGAAGATGCCACTGTTCCAGACAAATGTCTGCTCAAACACAGGCAAAACCCACATGGTATCTGCTGCCTGTGTCCGAACAGAGACAGGTACGATATGCACAATGATGGCCCAGACAGAACACAGCCGACACAAGCTTCAAAGAAACTCAGGTGTAGCCACACCTCCTTATTTTAGGGTCAAAGTTTGATGAGAATATACAGTTTTTATAGATGAATAAAACATTTATCATGACACTGAAACTCATGAGAAAGTCTCTTTCCATAACAGGAACCCACCAGATGCCACCATTACCCAGTGATCAACATTCAACCATACAAAGTGAGACAAACTAATATCTGAAAGGGTATCAGCGCTGTGCATCAGTCGAGCCACAGTGTAACTGAAGGACAGCCTATAAACAAGTCACCACTAATGCTAAGGGGAAGGAGGCACAGAAGCTGACTGTCACATGCAACTGGCAGAGTGGGACAGAGTTTGCGTCTACTCTAGAGGACATGATCAAGACGGAGAGCAGAGCAGGCTGCAGAGGACAAGACAGCACACCGCACAGATGCTGACTACACAGTGCTTACATAAGAGGACCTTGGGTTTGCAGAAAGTATTTAGGAGAATGTCATACCGCAGGACAACTCACCCTCCAACTCTTCAGAGAAAAGTGACTTGGGCAAGAAGAGAGAAAGAGAACGCAAACACAGTAACTGCCGACCCTCTAGAAGCCCGAGTGGCACTCATGTGAACGCTCTGCTCTTCTGTAACTTCTAAGTCGGAAGCTCTGGCTGCACCCGAGCTTATCGACCGAAGGAGGAGAGTTACTTGCCTCACAGTTCCCTGGTTACTTGGCCCCATCAGGGCGACAGGGCATAGTGGAGTAGAGCTGCTCACCTCACGGCGGCTCTAAAGCAGAGCAATAAAGACAGGAAGGGCCAGTGGTAAGAGAGACTCTTCAAAGGCACACCCCAAGGACTCACTTCCTCCGATAGGTACCACTCCTCCTCCTCGCCCACTCAATACGGTGCTAACCCATTGAGGGCTAGCACCTTCATGACCCAAGCCCCACCAGCTGGGTGACCAAGCCTTCAATCCCTTATGGTGGGGGATAATTCATATCAAAACACAATAGCTAAAACAAAAAAATACCGCAATAGCACAAAGTGGGGGGGGCAATAAGTTTTTAAAAAGGCTGAAAGACCACACTTCCTGTTCTATAACCGTTTGGTGGGGTGGAGGTGCCACATGGGGAACACACTCATCTGCCAACCTGCAGCCAGAGTTGGGTTGGGGCCGAGGAGACACAGGGTCAGGACAAAGCCTGGAACAACCGGATAGGCCAGGCTATGGCAGCAGTATAAAAAACAGTCTAAGACATTTGGAGAAGGACACTTCCCAAAACCATCTACGGAATCTACTGAGGGTCAGCTAAGATTCAAGAGATTGCTACTGACTTCTGACGACACAAAGACACCACCTCTGTGGTCCAGAGCTGCTAGTCTCAAAAGTATGGAAGCTGCACACATGTGTACTCACCCTATTAGCTCTGTTGGAAAACAGACCTCCAAGGATGGATGTACCAGCCAAAGCTGTCTCAGAATTTCATTGGCCAAGGG